GCATCTTCCAGCTCCTGACTATTCTATCCATGTACAACACAAACAGGATAGGGGACAAGACATAGCCTTTGCGGAGACGTTGGCCCACAATGGAAAGCCTAAGCTTAGCGCCTTTACACTGACGTAGCACCTGCTACCGGTATACAGTGATTGGATGCCCCGTAGCAACTGAATCCCATGTGTCCATAGCCATGTCAATAGACTGTTAAGCGAGATCCAGTCGGAGGCTTTCTCTAGGTCAACGAGCATATTTACACCGAATGGGAAGTTGCCACGATTTCTGAACGATCTGGAGTTGAGCGAATATCTGTTCAGTCATATGATCATTATATAATTGGGATGGTTAAAAACGTACCATGAAGCTCCTCATTCTACTTGACGTCATCATTACTATCATCACAATAATTTGCACATTTATTGTCGTTTTTATTGTCCATTATCCATCTTCACCGCAGTCATTTTAATCACTTATAAGAATCTTTATCGTCAACACCAAAATAAGTGCGGCCGTCGAAAAACCGTGTTCTTCTTTTCATAATACTGGTGGTAATGGTGGGAAAATACAATGAAACGTTATTCATGCTGAATACAGAAATACAGCTTTCTGTCCTCTTGCCCTCTGACTTCCATATACTTGTCCTTGTGAGCAGCAGTGAACTTCGAAGTCAGTCAATCAGTCACTTCCGTTTGAAGAAGGCCCATGAGACGGAAGCTAAAACGACGGCGCGTTCAATCATCTGTTTGATCATATTTTTACATTGTTTGTAAATAAATCGTCTTTTATACTATTTTTCTGCAGGTATCCTACTCATACTTGAACAATCATTATCGTCGTTATAACTGTTACCTCATACAACCCTCAAAGTTGTCGCTATGGGCATTTTTACCTTAGTCGTCGTAAACGTTATTGGCATAGTTATTATCGCAATCACCATCATCAGGATCATAATCATCGTCATGCTTATCATCATAATCATCATGACGTCATAGCATCGCTGTCGTCATTGTCATCGTCATCGATATGTCTCCTACATTGCGACATGTGAAACTGCATCCATAAACTATTGAAAGCACCATAAACACACGTTAATGAAAGTAGTTCAGAGAACACTTCTTTGGATGGATGATTCGTGATGGTTTACGATGCCCCATGTCAACGGACGATGAACGAAAAGCAGAATGTATACCAACTAATGTATCTTTTGTTATGAACACATGGGCAATGGTCTGGAACTTTTTATTTCTGATCATTTCCATGGAAAATTATCGAATAAAAGTTTATCATAATCGGTCATATATACTCACTGTACATTATAAGAATCAATTTGAGGCTACATTAGTCCGCAATACAAATCTTAAATTTTTCCTTATCGTAAGATGTACTACCAGCCAATTCATTGCTACTGTGATTAGTTGCGTGATGCCAGTATTTGCCAGAGAACGCCACCGATAAATCCATATGATTCACTAGGAAGAGAATTTGGCATTCTCTAATATGGTCTCGTCATTCCACCTCAGAATGCTATTGGACATCATCCTATAACCATTTTTGTGACCTTCTTCGTCTGACCTTAACATTGCAGTCCCACATGGCGAAGGCATAAGCAAATTTTGTGACCAATGCCTGTTCCAGTCATTGATAGAATACTTCTACCTCCTTCTCGTCAACTGTACTTGTGAGTGCATAGGTTGGGGCAATCTTCAACGTTCTCCTTTGTTTCAGCTGGAAGCACGCACTCCGAGTATCACAGTGATTTTACCTGGCTGGGGCGGTTTAGGAGGACCAGCTTCAGAGACTAAAAGTCTGATTTATACCAAGTTCTACGCTCCTTCCGCTCTTCCTAGCCAAATCGATTATCGTCCTTCAAAATGCCACTCATATTCTTCCGCTGTGGTGTCTCGCTAAGGTCAGAACTGTTGCAGACGATCCATGGCCTTCCACCCTACAGCTGATTTAATAGTTCTTCCATCTTCAGTATTCTATCCTTGTTGGAACAAACTGCGAGGGTCATACGGCTTCATATCCGAGAATGAAAGTTTTCATCTGAGATACCTAGAAGCCTCTGGTCAGTCAAACACCGAACCGCACTATCCTTTCATTATCCATTGTTTAACTACAGGGAACGGTGACGTCGGTAGCTTTAATTCTTCGAAGGGGCAGGTTGCTTTCACCGGGACACGAGATTGTCATCGGGCATAATAACTTTGTCTCTGAGAATCGAATCTGTCAAAGTTGAACGCAGTCATGCCCTCGTGGTCTCAATATTCTGGTCTGGCAATTTACATATAAATTTAGACTACTGTGGCAGTTCCATGGTCGAATAACAATGAAAG